AATTATACATACAGTTTTTAACAATATGATTAATTTTGATCCAAAAAATTAACTACAAATATACAGAAAAAGAGGAACATTCATCAAAACAAGAAACAACAGCAATAGCTAAGTTCATATTGATATAATAGTTTGCATATATTTTTAAATTTAGTGAGTCCTTCATATTTACAATCTGATTTCAAATTATTCACTAGTACGAGAGAATGTATTAATAACACAAGGGTTTTCTCTCAGAGCATTACAAATGCTTGGGCCAATACATATTTAACCTCACTTCAAACTACTAATGCAGAAGGTACAAAAATTACATGGAGATAACATGCAATGAGATCTACATGAAAAGCAATGTCACAGAATTGGAAGAAAAGTAATTCTGATTTCTACTTTATGGGAGTAGAAATATATAAAGAATTGAAGTGAAATGTGACTTTACTGCGCACTAAATGGAGAGTTGAGCTCAGTAGGGTAGAGTACGGTTGCTCACTTTCCATCCTTTCAAGTGATTCTTCAATGCCATTGCTCATGCCTGAGACATGGGCAGTTATTAGATAAAGGTGCCGAAAGCCTGTTTCTTCACTGGCCCATATAAATCGCACTTCACCAGGTTCATTTCCAGAAGGGAAGAAGTAAAGAAGGTCATTTACCTACAAACAAAAACATGCCTTTAATAAACATATTAACACCATCTATATCAATTATAATGAATATATTTTACTCCATACTCAACTTTTCCACAATTGTGTAAATAAGAATAGAAATTTATTGTCACATTACATGTCATCTATGATCTATCTTGAACAAAATATTAATGACTGTTCACATTATTCAAGTACACAGCCATATGGTATTGCAGTGTGATGAATATATGCCACAATAAAGTATGTACATCGGAAAAACCGTACTGATGTTGCTTTTGTTATTATTTCTTTCTAAATAATTATTATGTATTAATAATTCAAAAATTTCTTTTAATAATGAGATGTACCCAATATGCATAATACGTATCACAGCATTATAAGCCTCGAATTCAGACAAAAGAATGGAAAGATTGAATCATAAAATATTTTTACAATAGTGCAAAAACAATAATGCTGGGCTCTTACACTTTTCTGTTTTATTACAAAATTCTATCCTAATTTTTAAATAGAGCTTCTACTGTCAGGCATTCATTTACATAATAAAAACAATTGAAGGACTCAATACGAGTGGCTATCCCACACTTTTTGAGGAATTGTGCATTAATAAAACTTCAAATATTATTCTTTTAGTGTAATGGGTAATTTAAATCCAGTATGGACTTATATGCAAGTGTATTATAAAAGTTCTAGTAAAACCCTCAATATCTCAGAACTAGATCAATGTTCTCTTGTTCTGCTGTGTCCTTTAATTGTGCAGCAAAAGTTAACGAACTGTTATAGTGTCTTGCTTTTATACATTGAGGAAGATGGTGCTTCAGATGTATACCCTTGTAAACAATACTTCAAAGTGGAGGTTGTTTGATTGTGTGATATTTTAATACAATTTTATAATACAGTTTTATATGTCGGTTATATATCATTCAAATTTGTCTTGTGATTTTAAAGTGTGAATTTCACTTATACGATACTTACATATATAAATAAGCAAGGTAGAGAAAAAGACTAGAAGTTCAATTTACAATTTGTAGAACTATAAATATTGGATAGTATCCTCATCCCTTTTTTCTGAATAATGAAAATTTTTTTGGACATGACTGTGCTACTCTCAAATGTAATTCCATTAGTTACTAGAAGATGAAGAGAATACCTACATTTATCCAGATGTCCGAGTGCTGGGTATATAGAACCTGGACAGCAGGCGTTGGAGGGTTCAGATTATTTTCAACATTGTAAACATTGGGTGGAGGTTCAGTAAAATTATCAAGAGATAAAAGCACCAGTTCAAGTCTTTGTTGTCGTCTATCTAATAGTTGAACCCATATGCTGCAAAAAGGTAAAAAATAACATCAGATGCCTTAACTTTTATTTTGGAAAAATTTGCCACACACGAGTCAGTTAATATCTCATGGATAATTAATATTTTAATTAAAAGAACCTAAAATCGAAAGTAAATTTTAAATAAACATACTGTTCTGAGCTTGGAGTCCAGCCCACTCGAACTACATATTCCATCCAAGGAAACATTACTGACAATGGATACTGAAGTTCTAATGTTTCAACATCAACAATTTGAAGAGCTTCATTCAAACGGAATTGAACAATTTTGAGATTGGATTTTGCATTTGGAGTTCCAGCACGAGGAAACCTGGAAGGTAGTTATGACTATGAAATTGTCATTCATATAGAAGATAAGTTATTTTCTATGAGCAATTTAATAAAAATATATAATTTTACCTAAATTCTTCGATTTCACCAAAATTCGAATTTGATGACGGGAAGCAAAATATTTTTACTTCACTTTCATCAACCTCTTCGTACACTATTCTGTATATGCCATCTATAAAACAGTAAAACAATTTGAAAAAAAGCTTAGTTCACCATAACATTTTCCCTTATTAATAAAATTTAATGAGAATTAAGTTTACAACATATACATACCAGAACATTTTGGTTGCCACCAATAACCTTGATACCTATTGAACTCTTCTTGCATTACATATGAAGGTATACCAGCACTTAGAGGATCATCAGCTAAACTCCTTCCACCTTTGTGAGCATATGTTAATCGTACAGTACTCCCTACAAAGAAGGTTTGAATTAAGAATGATTAGCTTATTTAAGAAATGAAGCCTACCGAAAATTAAACCAAAAGACAACAGAAAATGAGAATTAAAACCAGTTTAAGTGAAAGAGGAGTCAAAATTGGCAAATGGAGGTGGATACCAAAAGCTACCTACAAAGATTATTAAATTAATTTGAAATATAAATAAAAAAAGGTCTGGAATTTTAAGAAAAAGCCAATCAATTAAATTTTTAGTATTATACAAAAAATAAATTTTACTGGTAACTGTAATGCATTACACAAAATAAATAATAATATAATATATAACTTTAAGTAATACATTATTGTCTGTTATCTTGTTATAAATGTTAATAGTATTCTAACTTTTTCTCAAAACAGACCGATTAATACTATTTGCTTAAGGTTTCAACACTTTTTGGGGTCTTTTCCAAAAATAAGTAACTTGGGTCCAGAAATGTACAAGTGTCTTGTAAACAGATTCTATTGAATTTAAAAATATATCAATTGGGATTTCATTTAAAAACTGTCAATATTAAAAAACATTGGAATAAAAAAAACTATGGGTCAATTGATATCAATATTAAAATCAACTGTCTACCCTAAGATACAATTTTTGACAAAGACCCCCAAAAGGGTCAAATCATGAAGCAAAATAAATTATTGAAAAATAGTATTAATGTCTCTGTTTTGAAAAAAGATCATAATTTTTTTTATGTTAAAATAATAGAATGCCATTCGTAATTGTGAAACCTGAAACTACACTACAAAATAAAACTTACCTGTGAATGTATGAGATACCCATATGTCACTATTACATATATAAGCTATGAGATCTGGATTAGAAAAGCAAACTTGTGGATTCAATTTTGCACCACAGGAATTTGTGCGCAACTCTGAAGGGAAGAGAGGACCATTCTAGAAGAATAATTGAAACAATTATGACATTTGCTAAAATTTATAAATTACAGAAATAAAAGTATCCTAAAAGCCAAAAAGGGGAATCCACATCTCAAACTTACTGTGAATCCTGAGTCTAAACACTGGAACAAACTACTACAAGCAGGGAAGACAAGTTTTCCAGACGCATGATGCAATTCATAAGACGTAATTCCCCAAGTAGCTAGGCGTTTCCTTTCCCATAAAAGCTGCTCTTCTCTTGAAAATCTATTGACAAGAAATTGATTAGGATCTATACATTACACATAAACAAAGATACAAAATTTTTGAAAATTGTTACCTGCTCATGCTGGACAAATTTTGAAAATTTGCTTCTAGAACGGGTTGCCAAGTTAATCGATGGCCACTGCTATGATGATCAGAGTTTGTCACATCAGCATACAGAAGAGTAGTTTCCCAACCATTTGCTGGTGTACTTAAAAAGTATATTCGAGTTCTTCCATCAGACAAAATCCGAAATGATACAGCACTTGGTACCATTGTAGATAAACTTGTCAGTTGTCGCCGTAAATCACATACTACATTTCGTAATTCTGCCCAAGTTCTTTTACCTTTGCCATCACCACCACAAGCACTGCTGTTGCTCTCACTAAGTTCTTCATTTGCATGGACATCCATTATCTTCTTTTTCTAATAAGATTTGTACAAAGGTTGGTCATGTGGAAAATATGAATAAATTTCATTGATACTTTCTTGGCTATTCAATATGTCAATAGCAGAAGAAAAAAAAATGAAAGACTTTGCGTATAAATGCACATGTGCACAAGAAATCAAAACATTTAATCATTCAATTCAAGTCTTCACAATTCTATTGATTTGAAGATACAAATAACCAATACTCTTTATAGAATGATTGCACCAGAAAGCACTCACCTAACAACTATTTTAATTATCTGTATTCAAGTTTTCTTCTTTGGTAACATACTTAGGCTGTAAATAAGAGAAAATTGACATATCAATAATGACGAACTTATCACTCCCGAAATAAAGGCGTAATACTCCCAGAAAGTAAATGACAGCACTTATTCAAATATGCTTTGTATATGGAGTTCAAAGAGCAACAGCTGGGAGCAATAACCTGTACACGCTAAAAAAGAACAGCGCGACTGATCTATACCATGAATGACACGTACAGCAAGTGCACAACTATACACAACCTTAGTGAACTACGTATTGTTGTCAATATCTGCTTATCACTTCGTTTTTCTGATTCACTGTTTTGACAAACAACTCAGGTGCACTTATATATAGATACTGAAATTTAATCTACGAAATGCCAAGGTTGACACGGAACTTGGGCCCCTGACATGAAAGCTCACCTTCAATACAGATAATATTAAATAAAACCCTTCAAAAATAAAATTATCTTCCCTTAATTCTTTTCATTTACAACCAGCGAACTTTTTTACATTGCGGTTATTGTTGCCCTCTATCTGCGATTTTGGGAATCAACAATATGAATAAATGAGCATCAAGTTGCGACACTGTTCTTGAGTCGAATACATACGCAAATTTGACAGAATTTAGAGCGTGGAAAATTATTGAAAAAGTTAAAAAATGTATGCAAATGTATGAAATAATATCTACCGAACGAGGCTGAGAAATATAAGTTCCGTAAGCAATAAAAAATGATGAAATTAATTAATTCAAAGGTTCTTTATTATGTGAACATAGTTAAAGAAGTATAATTGACTTCAATTACAACAGAGAAATAAAACTCCATCTTCCAATTTTCAATATATTATATCTTCTAAGATGTAGGAAATAAATAAACTTATCGATCAAGGACTATATTGAATATTTGAAACAGGTATAGAAGAGCTGACGTTGTCACTACACAAGGGGATATAGAAACATTTCTTTCTCACAAAATGTTACCACTTAATGAAAACCACATGCTTTTATTAAAATTACGTTTTTAGGAGATAATTTTATTTACACTTTGTTAGTTTCAAACATTATGATATGTTATCATGAACGCAGAGTTACGCGCGCACTGTGTTCTATTTATCACTGGTTTCAGAGCTGCGCGATTCACAGTACTACACGGTACGTTCTTCGAAACACTAAGGTGCAGTAGAGGGTGTCTAAACAATCGAGCATATGGATTCTAATTGCAGATTGATGATTTTCATTTTGGGACTTTTTACAATATCATGGTCTACACGCACCGCTTCGGGAGGAAAGGCTGTTGAGAGTGAGTTGTGAAGAATTAGGAGGTTTTATATTTTCGCAATTTGTGGAATTTTGAAAATCCTTTCTTTTAATTTATAAGAACGAAGAAACGCTGTTTTTTTTATTTTCTTGGATTGTATCTTTATAAAAAAAATTGAGAAAAATAAGAACTTAAAAACCAACATTTTAAGCTTACTTTGTAATGTTGTTAAGTGTAATAATGTTTGTAACGTTAAATACTTTTGCTCCCTGTCTCCTAGGGGAATATTATCTCTCGTTCCAAATAGGTACATTTTGTAAGCTTTAAATGATGAGAATATACCAAGCAAATTATATACTTCAGGATGAATTTGTAATAATATAAAATGTCAGGTGATATTTTGATGAACGCAGTCACATTTTAGGTACCTAATTTCACGAGTCCCAGGCACTAAATGCCCTGCATTACCCTAGTTTTGGGCAAAATAACTAGATATTATATTTAATTTGGGCCACAAAAAATGAGCGCGATGTTTTAAGAACTTTTTAAAAAGGATATAAATACCAGCTTGACCTAAAATAGTTCAGTTAGTATTAAAATCATATAAGAACCGAAAATACTACATCTTTAAGTCGCAACTACGACAGTCGCAAAATATATTTGGGGCACATATTTTTTTTGTTGACCGTTAAATGGGCAAATGAATGAAACAAGCTTTTAATGCGTAGATAAATTAGCTAGTGTCTGGGTAGGAGTTATTATTCTCACTGTAGTAAATAATCATTTGCTATTGTTAAAGAATTAACAAATGTTTTGAAAATAGTAAACCATCGAATTAATGTAAAGTTAAATAACTAAATAATGTAGATTTAAAAAAGATTTTTTTCAAAACTACTATGTTTCTTTGCAGTTAATTGCAGAAAAGTTTACCTAATGATTACCAGTTTGAAACCCTCATATTGCAAAGAAGGATTGGGATAATCATACCGTCAGAAGGTCAGCAGATTTCATTATTATTAATATTTATTATTTCGGACTTTTAATTAATGCAACAGAATGGTTTAGTGCTTTTAAACCAGTAGCAATAGCCATTTGGCACGTTTAAAAAGCAATGCATTTGACTCGGATGAGACAAGATCAGCTAGAAGTTGAAAGAACATGAACAACGTTCGTAGTAACATCACTTTTTGTTTAAATCAAGAAATTATGCTAAAAGTAAAGAGAAAAGGAATGTTTTAGTTGTACTTTGCGTGAATATTTTTTTAAATTGCCACTATCTTCGATTGTGCTTTTTAAGACACTGTTCGTATTCTTGTTCATTTCGAAGTTTACAATTTTTCATTGCACAACCCACCCAGTATCTTCTGGGTAGATAAAAATGGGGTTCAAGGGCTATGAATCACTAATTCCTAACTAATTCTTGAAAATAAATGTCCATTCATGCCGAGTTTTTATTATGAATGTCAATTGGAAAGGCCTTCGCGTTAAATGGCGGCTGAGAAATGTTTGACAAGACGTTTACTCTCTCTTCTCTGTGAATAGGAGTACGAGGTGTCATCTGAAAAACAGTGAATAAATGAGTGAAAATGTTAGTGGAAAATTATTTAAATTTTATTTTGAAATTTTAAGAACCCTTAAGCAACTAATTGTTCAGTTTGCACATAAAAAAAAAAATTTTAATTTGAAAGTCTGACTGCACGGATAGGTTTAATCATATCTGCTTAAGCCACGTCTTTTATTATTAATATTTTTATATGTACAATATTTCTATTTTCAAATTGTTTTCAATTGCACGTTGAAATACATAATGGACACCTGTCAATCAGAATGCAATAAAGATAAATCATTGTATTAATTTTAATTTCGTAGCTTCCATTCTTTCAAGTAATAATCCTTTCAATTCTTCCGGTCTTAATCGTTATGATTTTCTGGTATCATTGTTCTTCAACAAATACATTTAAAACAAACGTATTTGTAAAACAAGATATAGTCTTTACCAAAATTTTTATTGCATTAATTATTTTAAAAAAATGAGCAGCTCCTGATGGCTTTGTCCATCCTGCCACGGCTTTACTGTTTTACTCCCACCAGGCTTGAATTATTTTATATAGTCAACGTACCACAGAACTACCACAGAAAGTTTCACAGCTCCTATCCGGGGCTGGCGAAGTATACGCTCGCTGAAATTGCTGCGCACTGAAGGCCCATTCACAATGCAAACATAACATAAACATGGCGTTAACATAAAAGTTGGAATAAGCGGACTCATTCATAATGCGTTCGCATATGTGTAACATGTAAGATGTTAACTTTAAATCTTGCAAGCCTCGAGCTTCTGTGTTTATGCTTAAGTAAGACATAAGAAATGAACCAATCACAGAACGGTGACTCAAAATGAAGAATCAAAATTGGAGTGAAGTCGATAGAATAACTAACGCCATATGAGCCCTGGACACAGTCGATACCTTGAAATCGATTCTCACATCCAACCTCTAGTAAACCAGAATGTCTCACAGCCAATAGAAACTCTTATTTTTCTTACGTGTATGTCAGACATTGTGAATGCTTCAGTCTATCACTTATGTTAATGTTTACTTCTATGTGCTATGCTTATGTTTGCGTTTGCATTGTGAATGGGCCTTGAGACTGGACGGGGCCGGGCGCGGGGGCGGCCGTCGCTGAGGGCGCGGGTGCGTGCGCGCATGCGCAGTGTGCAAGGAGTACGGTGAGTTCGTGTTCGCGGAGGAGGCGGCGCCGGTGTTGCTGCCCGGGGCGAAGGTGGACAAGACGTCGCAGTGCGGCATCGTCGAGGTGCCGCTAATCGTCGGCGGGGAGAAGGCCGGTACCAAGGAGTTTCCGCACATGGTGAGGCGCACCGCCAAATTACGCACGCACGCACGTACGTCTGCGCGGGCAGAGGGGGGCTGTGTTTGTCCCAACATGGACTTCGTGACACTTTCTCCACCCTCATAACTTTCGAACTTATCAACGGATATTCATAATCGAACACCACACCGGCTCAGGTGGCTCAGAGCACCAAGTCATTCAAGGGCCTCTGACAGAGAGGTCCTAGGGTTCGAGTCCCGATCGCGGCGGATTGTCGACACAAACTACGGCTACTAGCGACGCTGGCTAGGTCGAATTCAGCCGCAACCTTAGCTAGCGATCCGTTGCGCTGATCGAGAGTTTTTCGGGGTTTCTCCGATCAATATCAAGCGAATGCAGGCGTAGTACCCTAACAAATGAGCTGAGAACCGTGCGCGATCTTTTCTTCCTCTTCCTTGTCAAATCCTCACCCCCTTACTTACACACACTTACACTTACTATACATCCACTATACTACCGCAGATATCGGGAGATCACTGGAGCTTAGAGCTTGCTCAACTGGAGCGGTGCATCACTGCTGGGAGATACCTGATTGGGGAAAACCCCGCAAGCCGACGTGTAGGTCGACACCGGAAGTCTCCAGCCAGCGGTTGAAGATCACTGCCACCTCCCGCGACATAACCTGTACTATATTTACGGGAATGACAGTACTTGACGCGCCCGGAAACTCTATTTAAACGACAAATTAATAGAACAACCAACCAATGTGATGGATACTAACAACTCGCCCAACCCAAGGGTTTAAACAAAGTCTTTCTCTGTTCCTAAAAAGGAGCTCAAGTTATTCATTAACGTGCATCTGATACAATGAAATATAAAAGATTTCAAATTCCACTAATCACTGTCGTAGGACATCATTTTTTAGAGGAGTTTTGTTTTCGTGTTCTTTTTTTTCTTTCTTATTTGTTACGAACGTTCTAACAGCTCGAATAGATAGATGAACTGATAGATATTATTGTTTCTAAACCCCACAAGCAGCATTTATCCTTCCACTCAGTTTTATCGTTTTTAAAATAAGTAACTTTGTCCTCATCACCTGTTGTCATAGAAAAATGATGCAAAGTTAATTGATTACAATTTCTTATACTTCTGCATTGTTCTTAGAAGTAAACCCTTGCTGTGGTTCTGGCGAAATCACAATCAGACTGTTATATATATAATCCGATAATCTGATTCAGAAATCGCGTTTCGGAAACAATAAGATTGTTCAGAGAATTGTTATCTTGTATTCTTGTGAACTTCAATACTTTTGCATTGTGGGTTTATTCAGTCAAGTTTGTAGTCTCCATATTAGGCAGGAGATCAATGATTGAATTCTTGTTATATTAGTGATACGTGCTTGAGTTTGTCATTTATTTATATATTAGAGAAAAATATCTACTCCATCATTAGAGCCTTACGTTCATAAGGAACGTCTAGTTTGGGTTTCGGTCTTCCAGTTGTGACTTAATTGCGATGCACGCGCAGAAGTTAAGAACGACAAGTTAATCTCGGTAAAAGAGATCGGAATCTACCATCCCTTTGGGTTCCTACTTGGATCTCTCCTTCGCTTGCCATCAAAACACTTGCACAATACGGCGATACCTGCTTTCTACTTTCATAGATTCATATTTAAAGAAGTAGAGTAACGTCTTACTTATAACAAAGAAGAATATGTGGTTGAAATTTGTATCCCAAATTCTATTGATTTGTTCTTTCTTCAGCTTTGGACAGTGCCTCTATAACATGCCTATAACACACACAGTACTTCAGCCTCTCACCCAATGACCCTCACCTCGATAAGTTTTTTTTATCACTTTCCCTTGATCTATCAAGCAAGCTGAGATGGCCCCTTGTTTTGCTTCTGAACATAAATGTACATAGCTTCATTATGAGTCCGTTTTGTTCAGCTTTTCTTTCGTTAGTTGCGGTAGGAGTAGAGCCGGGGGTACAGGTTACTATTTTGTTAGCAATACTACAAAATATAATCTGTAGTTCGTTTGCATACGAAAGTTAGTTTTCTAGTACTAAGGAGCAAACATGCTTACTTTTCAAATGTTGCTTGCAACGCCCTGTCTGTTTGCAAGTTTATTAATAATTTAGTTATTATTGTAAAAGAGTGCGATAAGGATTCTGAGCCCAAGGAAACGTGCGCAGATTAGATTTCTCCCCCAAACTTCACACATTATTTTCACTGTTGTTGACGGCCGCTTCAAACAGTCAAGCGCGGTGCTGGGTGCAGGTAGCGCTGGGCTACGGCGGCGCGAAGGCGGACGGCGCCAAGTGGATGTGCGGCGGCTCCCTCGTCAGCGAGCGCTTCGTGCTGACGGCGGCGCACTGCCTTCGGAGCCGAGACCTGTGAGTGCAACGTTTCACAAGGCATTCAAGGAACGGCGTTTTTCATTCGATACATTGATGTATTCATTCCAAAACTTCATTTCGATTCGTTGGAATGTCGGAGAAGAATGGCTCGAGAAATGTTAAGTAGAAAGTTGTTAGACAAACAGTACTCATTATATGATTAGAAAATATATCGTTAAGTCACTTTTCAATCCATTTGTTACACGTGGCTGTCTCGTCTGCGTCTCTTGAGTCTTGCGAGCTATTGATACAAAGCGTGTCAATAGTACCTATCCCACGAGATGGCACGGTTCGACGAGTGACAACCTTTAAAATAACGTGAGTGGCCTAGGAACTCGAAGAGCGCAACCTGACAAGTAGACGGATAAAAAGACGGAAACGCCATAAGATAGCTCAGTTCACGGTGGTATATATATTAGAATGCAGTTACCCAAATCTGGCTGCCGCAGCTGAAAATGTTCAATGATCACTCGTCGAATCGTGTGGAATCGTTTGCTAACCTCCAGGTGACTATGCAAAGGAGGTGCAACCAGTGTGACTTTTGCCGTGCGACACAGATTGGGTTGCGCTGCTTGGGTGCCGCGGCTCGGGTGGCGCAGCTCGGGTGGCGCAGCTCGGGTGGCGCAGCTCAGGTGACAGAGCTCGGGTAGCACATTTTGGGTGGCGCAGCTCGGGGCGCAGTTTGGGTGGCACAGTTTGGGTGGCGCAGTTTGGGTGGCGCTTCTCGGAAGGCACCGGTCGGGTGGCGCAGCGCGAGTGGCGCAACTCAGGTGGCCCATGCGGCAGAGGCGTTAAGTGCGGCGGCGCGGCGCTGGCGATGCAGGGGCGAGGTGAAATGGGCGCGCACGGGAGGCACCAACCTGGACGATGCGGGCGACGACCCGGGCAACCCTCAGGTGTTTTCGGTGGCGGAGCGCAAGGTCCATCCAGACTACTCGCCGCCCGCCAACTACCACGACATCGCGCTCATCAGGCTGGACCGCGATGCCGCCTTCGACGCCTACACGCGCCCCGCCTGCCTCAACACCGAGGCCGAGCTCCGGGTGAAGACGGCCATCGCCACCGGCTACGGGCGCCTCGGATACGGTACCTACTTGCTTTCTTCTCTTTCCTTCGCTTCTCGTTACCCTGTCTTTTGTTGTCTAATTCTCTTTCCTTTCCTGTCTCCTGCTGTTTTCCTCATCTCCCCGCCATTCCATACTGCGACCTTAATGCCTTAAATGGGGTATTCGAGTTTTTGTTTCGCCTATGTTTTTTCTTTTTACTCCCTCGAATACGTACGAATATACAGAGTAATAGACGTGGTATAGAGAAAGTTGCTGGAGAATATCGATTTCGAGATTTTAACTGAAATACACGTTTTAGGGCCCCTTATAAAGAAAAAAATGTTCTTTCTTCACAATGTTCGTCCATCTGTCCGTTGACATGAAGACCCTGGGGCATTTTCAAAATTTTCTTAAAAGTGGCTCCAAATGTTTCTGTTTCTTTTTTTGTAGAATATGAGGTAATTTTTAAATTAAAACTTTGAACAAGTTTCGCAAAATGTCGAACAACTCAATTAATTGCTATTAACTCTCAACAGTTATCTCATTTTTTCAACAAATAATGCAACATGAATTGTACGATATTTAAAATGATAGTGTTTGATTCGTAGAGTAGAAAATTAAATCGTTTGCATAAGGCATATAAAAAAAATGTAAAAAAATTATATCATTAAGTGCAATAAGGTTTCCACATCATTTTTGAAAATGATTTTTTCGAATGAAGCTTACGGTATATTTGTATCTATAAATAAAATATTGTAAAGAACACGAATTTAAGAGGAAAAAAGGAGAGGAAAATGAAACAGTGAGAAAGTGAGAGTGAATGAAGTACGAGAAACGGAACAATAGAACACAAAAGAGTTATGTATATATAT